TAGTAGCGTCCTTGCTCCTAGTACCGATGCCAGGAGCCCCTAGTAGCGTCCTTGCTCCTAGTAGCTTTGCTACCAGTATATGGCAATTGACCAATTTGCCATCCTCAACACCTTTTTGAGCGTTCATGTCCAGCAAAATAATGCAGTTCAATGGTTCGCTCCACATCTTGTTGCACCACATTTTTGTATCCAGCAGTGGTCCGTCAAAGCACTTCGCTTCGCGCCAAATGAACACGATCTCAGAATAGAACAAAGCACAGAAGCAGATTAAACCGTGAACTGCACACACGCACACACATACACACAAGCAGATTAGTGGACTAGCACCGTGGAAAAATGGAAAACAGCTTTACGGGGCTCTTGCTGAATCAATCCAGTTGCCCGTGGCAACTAGCGAAGCATGTCTTATCTACTCACTTCCACCAAGGGTCCTCGCCGGTGCGGAAGTCCTGCTCAGTCCAAGGGCTCAATGCCAAGTTGCCGTTCAGGGTAGTGGTGTGAGCCAAGGCCAAGGAAAGTGGAGCAGGGCCACGTACAACCTTGCCATTCTCATCGTACTGGGATCCGTGGCAAGGGCAGCAGAACTTGTTGGCAGCCTTGTTCCAAGGCACCACGCAGCCAAGGTGAGTGCACACGGACAGAAGCGCAAAGTCCTTGATGTTGTCTGGGGTGGAGATGAGGTAGTAGGGCTCACCCTTCAGTCCCTGCACCAGCTCACGGTCGTTGTCCTTGTGGCTCTTCACCCAAGACTCCAGGGCGACAGGATTGCCATCCACGTCTCCAGCAAGCTGTGCTCCTCCGCCACCACCTGACACAGGAGGCACGAAGTACCAAAGGTAGCAGCCCAAGGCCACCAGGACAGGGATGCCAGCTGTGGTCACCAGCACAAAGTTCATGAGCTGTCGGCGCCTGCAGACTAGAGTGGCCAAAAATGCCCAACCGTTTCATCAGGATACAAAATTATCTTTCTTTGGTTTGGTCTGATTCAAAGCCAAAGGGACTGCATGTCTGGCACGAAGCCGGTGTACTCGCCAGCGGCACGCATGGTGCTAAGGTCTCCCCGGGAGACCAAGGGCGCCTCACGGGTCTGCAAAGCCTCTAAAGTACATCTGCTTCATTGTACTAGCATTATCTTTTGAAATCTGGTTTATTCTTAATATGTTCTCTTCTCTATATTTGTGCACCCGGATTGTTCCTCGCGTGAATGTCAAGATTTCTTGTGCAAAGCTCTTGAGACTCTTGAACTGCCATGGTCTTTGTGAACTCGTTGTTTGCCACGTGAAGTCCTCTACATCCAGTTTCTAGCTTGAAACATGTGCAGCCCAACAGGATGCTGACGTGTCACAGGATGGTAGTATGGCTATGTTGCTCTGTGTTGCTTGTCTCTCCTTGCAACTAGCAACACTACTCAACAAGCAGCTTTTTGTAATCACCTCATGTCATACAAGGCAGAATGGTCTCCAAAGCGATGTTGGTCTTGCGGGGAATCTTGGTAGCCTAGACCTAGCCTGCCAGCCTGCAAATACCACATTGGAAGCAACTGGTTGACATGGACATGGACAAACAACGTAGCATGAACCACATTGATCGATTAATGTGATGCGGTCTGTGGTGTGGTGTAATGTAATGCGGTCAGGGATGCAAGTGCACTGCAATACGATCCAAAGCAACGTAAGCGCATGAGTTTTAGCATACGGCCAGCTCCGCGTTCACTTGTGCTGGGTTTCTCAATGGCTTCCAATTGAACAGTGAACAAGCTGAGGTTTCCTGTTTTCCCTGTTGTCCTTTGACGCCTGTGGCCCGACGAATGCGCAAGCAGCCAAAGCCCCAGCAGCAAGGACGGCCTGAGATGAAAGCTAAACCAGTGATGCCAAGATTTCAGTCTTCCGACACTGTCACGGTCAAACTATATAATATGTCCTGACTGCAGTGTGATCACACTTGAACAATTCTGGCGCATGTCATCACACAGACCCAAACATTGATATGTTTATTGTTAGTGTATCAAACTGCTTGCAATTGCACTGATCGCTTCAAGCTCGTCAAAGCAATATTGAAAAAATTAAGGAATAACATGAAAAGAAACAACAACGTATTCCACGATTGTTCATTCCTATACCGTTCCTCGCCAATTTGACCGAGGCGCAAGGCCCCTCATGGCACGCGTCTTGGTCATGGTCATGGCAGGAGGCTGCGGTGTTCGATACAAAAAGTGCTTCGGCAAGGGCAACAGTGACCCATCACAACCAGGGGTTTCCCACAGCAAGCTTTTGCATACAAAAAGATGCAAAAATGGAAAGGTGCGTCATGTTTTACATGAAACAAAAACAAACCTTTCTCTAACGAAAATTTGTTCAGACTGCGGTCTTGGCTCCCAGCCAACCACTCGCTGGGTTCATCTGGAAAGGCTACCTGCAGGTGTTCCGCACTGTGAAGATCTACAGCTCCACCCAGTTCAAGGAAGTGCGAAGCGCGAATGGTCGTATCAAGTCAGCATGAGGATCATTTTTCATAACATGTGTGCACATCCTAGCCTTTTCAGCACCAAAAATTGCCTTGACAAAATAACGTCCTGCACAGTCACGCCCACATTCAGTCACCTGAAGTGCGAGTGAAAACACTTTGGCCATCATTTGATCTTTGTCCGGTTGAATATCCAGGGGTGACCTGCTCCATGCCATGAATGAGCAAACCAAAGAAGCATCTAGCTGTTTGTTCTGAAACCCAAGAGGCCGAATCTTCGGTGATGGATGTTCTAAATGAAGAATGCTGCGACTTTCCAAACTGTAGCGCAGCACGCGAAACAAAAAAAATTGCACAAACTCATCAGGACGATGACGGTGAACGTCTCCTAAAGAGTTTTTGAAGGATACGTACATTATATATAATTTATAATATGTATATATAGTTTTGTAAAAACCGGATTCGAAGCAAATTGCGGGACCATTTCAGCAAAAATGGGCATCCTGGATTGGAGTTCTTCATGACAGAGAGAACCACTGCAGCTTGGCAGAGTCTCAACAACACGCTCTGAACCGATACGTTCATGGTGGGTGATGTGTTGATGACCATTTTGAATGCTGCAAGCTCATGCTGGATTTCTATGAACTTCTGGGTGCAAAGCAGTTCCAATGCTGCCATTCTTCTCGCCCTGGTAGTGAAACGTTGAGGAAAAAAATATCCAACCTCTCAACTATAACTACTCACTACTCCATTGCTTCACATTAATCAAGAAACCTTGATGTGGTCCCTGTAGTGGACTGCGGCGCAAAGGTTCAAGCTACAATGTCATCTTTTTGCAGGCCATGAAAATCCAGCTGCAAGTACGCTGTTGCATTAGTGCAAACCGATGTCACAGCATGAAACTGTCCGTTGAGGGCCTTTTCAGGCTGCATCTTCACCCTGTCTCCAACCTGCACCAATGAAATGGAACAAAGGCGTCCACACACAAATGCGAAATTGGATCTGCTTTGAAGCGGGTAAACACCATCCAAAGAAACAGGCATTCCTCACACAGCAGGAAGTTGCTGCGATTCACCTGGAAAGCCAATAGCTGCAGGTCTCCACGCGATGCCACAGTGCTACAGGGTGTCCTGACCGCAGTCGATGCCCATAGTAGCTTCTTGTTGCTCCTTGTAGCGATGCCTTTTGTTGCTAGTAGCTCTGTTCTTGCACCAAAAAAGCAATCCATGGTCAACTGAACACCGAACTTGGGCCTGGTAGCTGTCTTGAATAAATGTGTCCCTATCATCTGTCGGACTTGCTTTGGATTGTCTGTCTGCACAGGGATTCTCCAAATCCTGCTTGTTGGCTCTGTTTCTCATGGGATTCTTGATTCATCTCAGATTGCACTTCACAATCAAGTTCTCAGAGTTGCAGCAACAAAGAGCACTGTGTGGAAGCACCCCTGGTTTCTGTGGCCTCCAGCCGTCCGCCATCGCGGTCGGTGTCATCCATCCAGTGAGGCCCTGAAAGACTTTTGAGTGGACCCCGAAGCATCACGACAACGTATGGTCTGCATCTTCGTTTGGTTTGGCAAAATGCAAGTTGTAGCAAGTGTTGAAACCTCAGGGGAGCCTTATACATCTGCCACTGCTGAGTCCTGAGTGCCCACACGGTGTTCGGGGAGAAGTCGTCAGCCCAATCTGACATAGCCTCTAGCACAAATTTCAAAAGCAGCTGGTCTGATGAAATTGACATTGTCCTACTAACCAAAGGGCATGAATCAAGCGTTGAGCATGGAGATATTTTCCAGTTCTAAAGACGCTTCATGTTCAGATAATTCTGGTAGTGGAGTGCTGCTTGCCAAAGCCTGGCCTTTGGGCCACGAGGCGTAGATGCCACCCGGAGAGACTGAGTGTGGTGGACCCTGGACATCAGAAACGTTGCAGGAGTTTCCTGTGGGGTGAACCCATAGTGCTGTGATCTGAAGTGGTGAACGGCCACAAGAGTTTACAAATTAGGGCTCCTTGCGGTCCTTGTGGCTTGCAAAGGCATCAAGGATTGCTTGAAATGATACAGTAAGTGTCCACATCAGTTGAGTTACCAAAATCCACTTGCAGACAATTCTTGGAAGGGAACCTTATTTAAGGAGCCCTTCCGTGTTTTTGTGTTCTTGTGCGTCCATGTCCTTTCCTTTTCCTTCTCCTTCTCCTAGAAGCTCCTAGTACGGCTGAAGGACTTCATTCGAGTTGGTCCCATTTGCCGCCTCGCAGGCTGAGAGCCTTTACGGGAACTCCTGAGTGAAGCACCGAACCAAGGCAATTCTCGGCTGTTTGTTTGTCGTGTCAAAGTGTACCGTGAATCCCGAAGCAAAAACCTGCCGACACAGCAGGAAAAGATGGATATGGACCCTGGAGCATCGGTCAGGACCAGCTAGGAGCCTCCACATTTGGAGTTATATATATATATATATTCCTTCCGTCTACAAGCCATTTTCAGTCAAAGGTGCAAGCTTTTCAGGAAGTTCTGTTTGCGCTTCAATCTTTCCTGCGGTACAAGGATCCGTCTCACAAGACGAGCATCAAACAGGGCAGTATATGGTACCGCCTTCGGCCTTCGTGTATAAATATGTCTCTTCCGGAAAAAGCAAACCTTGATGATGGAAGTATCCCTTTTTGAAGCGCATGGTTCCTATCACTTGGCCGCGTCCACTTTTGCGTATGGGCAAGCCATTCTAAGCGTTTGCTTACAGTGATTGGCCTTGCAAGTCTTCCCCAGCTACTACTAGGAACAAGAAGCTATTAGGGGCTCCTGGCCTCGCTACTAAGAGCAAGGACGCTACTAGGGGCTCCTGGCCTTACTACCTTACTACTAGGAACAAGGACGCTACTAGGAGCTAAACTGGCCGCTTCTGACTCTCGTCTCAATCCGCTTCGCTCCGACATGGTGAGCTGTGCCACTGTGGCTTCTGCTGATTTCTGCCCCTCGGTTTCGTTGGGCTCTGCCTCAGTCAGGCAACTGGCAGGTTTGTCACTTATTACATAAAAAGGAATTACCCGGACCTACTGCATCTCCATGGTCCTTACCTCCAAGAGCATGCGAGGAGAGAGAAAACTGGTCTGAGCTCAGAGCGATCGCGTGAAAAGCACCCTTCTTGATCACGAAGAACTCCTGCAGTGCCATGTGAGTGTGTGACCACCCTGGACTCACAGGTTTGCAGCTTACCATCTGTCAGGAAGCGAATTTAAAAAGATCAGCAGGGGTAGCGGCAAATCACTTGAGACCACTGCAAGCCAAGACACAAATTGATCTAATGATATCGGAGTTGGCCACTTCAACGTACGATTGTGATACAATCTCCTCTGGATTGACCAGGCTGGTGCAGGTGGAGGTAGGTGGGCAATTGTGCATTGGGGCTCTGTACTTAAAGGGTACGGCGATCTTGACTATAGGTCTCCACATGGTCTATATAACCAGGCTATCCCAGCCTTTTCCGAAGACTCTTTCCCGCAGTGTGTATGTGTGTTTGTGCATGTGGGAAAGTCTGGCGCACAAGCACACGGTCGATATGCTTTGGCACACCTCAACTGACTCCAGGCTCTTAGCCAACTCTGCGTCTTCCTGTTGGCCCCATTC